TTAGTTCTAAGAGGGTTCGCCCCTAGAGAGTGGGTTTCGGGTCCTTAAGGCTATTTTACCCGTTTTTACCCTGTTTTAAGCAGTTTTTGACCCGATTAAGGTTCGGGATGACCCGAATGATTACATAAAGTTAAAGGAACTTTTGAGAGAGATTTGGAAGAGATTTAACATACTTGGAGAGATTTCTCATACTTAGACAGATTTCGGAGAGATTTACATACTTGGAGAGATTTCTCATATTTAGAGAGATTTGGGAGAGATTTCACATACTTGGAGAGATTTCTCATACATAGAAAGATTTGGGAGAGATTTCACATACTTGGAGAGATTTCTCATACTTAGAGAGATTTGGGAGAGATTTTAAATAGAGTGAGATAGATCGGGAGAGGCTTCTTTTGTGACCTTTTTGAGTGCTTGGCTCCGCAATGCAAGGTCCGTAAGCCCCATTAAGCCATGTTTAAGGATCTTACACACTCCCGATGAGTATACAACATTGTTTTATCAGTTTGGTTCGTTACTTACCATAGTTATAGGTTAATGAAATCTAGATATGCGAACTTTTAAATTGATGATTTCTGATTAGAATAGCAAGTTGTATAGTAATTACCTAACGTAAGCCCTAGTACACAAGGGTTAATTGAATCGACCGGTTTGACTTGTTGACTTTAGTTGACTTTGACTTGACTGGAAATTGACGGTTGTTACATCATCCCCCCGTTAGAGGGAATTTCGTCCCGAAATTAGCACTTTGACCGGGACTTCGAGAGTTGGGGAAGGATAGGGTACTTTTCGGAGTACAAGAAATTGGTATGGCGGGGACCAATCCGCCTGATGTTAAATGACGACCTTGGAATTTCTTATTGTAACTTGAGCTATGTCGATTTAAAGGAGTTATTGTTTTGGAATGATAGTGTATTCTACGCATGCCTTTATACTCTCCGTTTTATTCTCGTTATTACCACTATGAATATTTCAGGTTGTAGTTAGTGAGTATTAGCACAAAGAGGTTTTCGACAATTAATGAAAAAGTTGGTAGTATAAGCCCTACCAGTTCTTTTATAATTGCTTACTGTAAACCAGTCGTATATCATTAAGGTTGCAAGGGCAGTCGAATGAGTGACTCCGCCTTAAGCCCACAACCAAACAAGGAACATGAAATAAGGCGGAATTATACATTCTAAGTCCTTAGAATCTTAATGATATATGATCATAATGTTTACACTAGCCATCATAGATTCGCTAGTAAAAACCCTGTGTTTTTATATATGTGATAAAACTTACTTGGATTTGTCATGTTCTCTAGATCTATGGTTGATAAACCCTAAGTTGACACTAGTCTCAGTAAGGATTTAAGACCTACATGTGGCGGTTAGAAGCACGTAGCGCTATTCACGGGTGGTTCCGAGGGAGTTTCTCCTGCAGTGATCATAAGCACCCTTCCACCGTCACCAGCATTCCTTGTCCTTGGACAGTCTCTCTTAAAGTGTCCTGCTTCACCGCACTCGTAACAAGTTGGGCTGGCTCCAATGTCGGGAACCTGGTTGATGGGTTGTGCTGGTGCTCTACAGAAACGGATAATGTGCCCTTTCATATTGCAATTCTTGCAATGCATCTCCCGACAAACCCCAGTATGATGGAAGTTACACTTGTTGCATTTCGGAAGGGTTCCAGCGTATCGATTTATGGGTGCTGGAGTGGCAGGAGTTGCGGCAGCATGAACAACAACAATCCGTTGCTTCTTGGTGGAGTCCTGGGCTGGTTGGTCCTTCTTGTTGTTCCAGAACTTTCTTTTGTTGCTTCTCCCTCCATCTTGCTCAGGGGTGGTTGTTACAGTGTTATGGCTGGCCCTATGGTCGATGAGTTGTTGTGCCAACTCCTTGGCACTGTCAAAGGTAGTTGGTCTTGAGGCCAACACACTGTTTTGAATTTGGGGAGACAATCCCCAGAGGTATCGTTCCACCTTCTTTTCCTCAGGAGTGACCATCGCGGGACAAAGGAGTGCTAGATCACAGAATCGGTCGGTGTAAGTTGCAAGGCCAGAGCCTGTCATTTTGAGATTCCATAGTTCTTGCTCTACTTTTTGCACTTCGCCCCTTGGGCAGTACTCTTTCAACATCATCGTCTTTAAGTCTTCCCAGCTTAACGAGTTAGCCACTACAAGCGTCAGTGACTTAACATGGCTGTTCCACCAAGTAAGGGCTCGGCCAGAGAAAGTGCAAGCTGCAAATTTGACCTTGCTTGCTTCGGGGCATGCACAAATTTTGAAGACCGATTCGGTCTTCTCGAACCATTGCATCAGTGTGATCACTCCCCCGCAACCATTGAAAGAATTGGGTTTGCCATTGGAGAAGTCCTTAAAGGAACACTCTCTCGAGCGCCCTTGGCTTTCTACTTGAGTGGAGTTATTAATACCACTCCATGTCCTTCTGGTACCGTCAGTGCTGATTTGGGACATAGCAGCTGCCACCGCGGCTGTGACCGCACCTTGGAACATGACAGGATCATATTGGGGAGGCGGCGGTGGCGGATTTGTTTGCGTTCTGCCAGTGCATCTAGCAGAGTGCGATATAAAAAGAAGAAGAAAACAGGGGAGAGAGACGGTGGAATAGGAGGCTCCGGTATCGATTGAAGATCAGAAGGCAGTTCAAAATATTAAATAACGAAATAAATAGTAAACATGTAGGTTGATGGTGGCTCCGGTATCGATTGAATGTCTGAAGGCAACAAGTAGCGGTGGTGACAGAAGATTGGTAGCGGTGTTCCAGTTTCGTTTCAAGATCAGGAGGCGGCGATTGGCTATGATGATAGAAGACCAGGTAGTGGTGATTGAAAGTGTAGATTGAAGTAAATGTCGACTGAAGTTGATGAGAAGAAGGGCTAAAAAACGAACGAGGATTAAACTAACGAGGATTGAACTATTGATGAAACCCTAGGTATCCAAGGGAAAAAAAGAAAGAGACGAGAATATGAAAGGAAATAGACGAGAGTTAGAGAAATTTTAGGAGTTAGCTAAAGTGTTAATTACTGTTATACCCTTATGACAATTTTAAAGTTACACTTTAATTCCTATAATTTTAAGAATTTACATAAATGGCCCATTCAATAATAACCTTAGATTTAGTTGTTTAAATGGTTTAGATATGTTCTCGCGTTCTCAACCTTTTAGGTGTTCTCATTTGATCCTACTCCTATATAGAAACGTGAATATACATTACAACCCCACCTAAAGTTAGGTACTAAACCTCATGAAAATACATTGTTTTACTATATAAAGATTGCGATTAGGGGATTCACGATTAACACTTGAAGATGTAGATTCATGATGTACACAATAGTTTTGATAAGTGTACATTCCCCAAACCAAGGATGGCGGAAACGTCCGAGGGTGGAGGACTTCATGTATAGTATCACAACAATGAGTATAATAGTGCTCAAAGTAAATACAACCATCATAAATATAATTGAAAAAGTTACATCATAGTAAGTTTACATGTTTCAAAATCAATTACATTATGATGACAAAATGAACCGTTTGACGATTTAACGTCCCATCCTCAAAATGCTGTTGTTTTCCTGTTTCACTAATTTCCTGAGAATACAAGTAGTTTTGAAAAGTGTCAACAATTAAGTTGGTGAGTTCATAAGAGTTTTGTTTGTGAAAGAAACCATTTTCTTTGTAAAAGCGACAAAGTATGTTTCCAGAGAACCCAATATTTTCTTTGTTAAGTGTGAAATGAATGCTTCTATGTTATGCGATAATGAACCCTAGAAAGACCCGCAGATTCCTTCTATAACCGCCCAGTGCATATAAGTTATATAAAATTTAAATTAAATAAACCGTCGAATATAATGGGTCTATCGTAGGTCCACAACCAAACAAGGAACAGGAAGAAAGACGAGCCCACCAATTCTAAGTCGATTATGAATAGATTCTTATATAACTCTAACATATACACTTAGCAATTATAGCCGAAGCCTAACAATTCTAGATGAATGTAGTTTTAACAGAAATATGTTTCCAAAGAAAATCCAATATTTTCCTTATAAGAGTTAGGTAGTCCTAAATCCGAGGACCGAAAATAAACAAGTATTTTTCCATACATAAAGTAATTTATGCAAGTTTAAATTGACATAAACTCGTTTAATTTAAAAGTAAGAACTCGTAAATCTTATGTTTTGTTAATACCACATGTGAGTTATTATAACCATGCTAAGACTCAGACGGCCTCGTAATACGACGTTCTTCAGGCGTCGCACGTTAAATGACACTTGTCACCTCAGACCTGCTTGTCTAGCTGTTGCAAACAGCTCAGGTGCGGGCTTGTCAGACGCAATATAGATCTATACACAACTATCACGCTCTCCCTAAAACACTACTAGAAAAAAGACCTTTAATGACGCGCTTTTTACGACACGCGATAATTAACGATACGCAAAAGGACGTGCCCTTAAAATAGTGTCATCTCTCCAAAAAATTTAAGGATTTACGTCACGCTTTATTGCGTGCCCTTAATTTGGTGTCTCAAGAAAAAAAATTAAAAACACGGAGGGCGCTTTATCTTAAACGCGCGTCGTCTGTACCTGTCGCTTTATAATTTTAATGAAACGCGCTTTTAGTAGACAAGGGGGGAAATGAAATCCCCAAAATTTTGAAAACCCGCCTTTTTTTTTCTATCTTCTATCTATCTTTCATCTTCAACCTAACAAGGACGAGCATTGCACTCTTGATTTCCCTAACTCTTTCTCATTTTCTGATTCAAACTTGAAAGAATCGAAAAAAAAAATCTATCAATTTTGAAGCCTAAAAAAATCTAACAAGGACGAGTATCCATCGATCCGACTTCCAAAAATAGAGGGCATTGATTCCACGTCTTTCGGGGTTGGGAGGAAGGAAAAACTGTTGGTCCCGTGTGATCTAATTGGTAGAGGGCATCGATTCCCTAACTCTTTCTCATTTTCTCCACCATCGCTGCTTTCGCTAATATCCACTCCGACCTCTTATGAACGCAAATGGTAAAGATCTGCTTCGATTTCCCGATTGGTCTTCATCGACGGTGGTGGTGAGTCGGAGGTGCCATGTTGATGTGATTATTACAATCGATTGCAGAAAATGAGAAGATTTAGGGTTTTTTCTTGGTCCAGTGGAATACTTTCAGGTTTCGTCTCGACTCCTTTTATTTTATTTTCTTTCTTTTCCTTTCCTTCTGCCATCTGCTTCCTTTCCCCACCTCTTCTTTCTTATTTGGATTCTCCAGGCGATATGCTACTGTGGCGATTCAGTCGGTGGCGGGTCAGCCTCAATTTCATAACATTTTAAGGGATTGCTGTTGGTGTTCATCGACGGTCGTGGTGGGTCGGAGGTGCCATGGTGATGTGAAGAAATAGAGAAAAAGGAATATAGTCATCACTTGCTGATACCGACGACGATCCGTTTTCTGCATTAGCCAGATTGAATGACTTCAAAGGAGGTTCGTATTTCTTTTGTATGTTTTTTTATCCCAATCAATGAATGGATTTTTTCCCCTGTATACGTTGGGCATCTTTCTTTTTTTTATCCCAATCAATGAATGGATTTTTTCCCCTGTATGTTGGTTTTACAAGTGCAAGTATATTAATCTACTAATAATCCCAACTTGACATGAAGTTGATAAGTAACAAGTAAGAATAAATTGTGTTTCAGTGAGTTTGTGTTCGACCCAATTAAATGGCAGCGGAAGCAAATGAACGAGGACTTCCTTGACCTATCAAAGATGTTCAATGCAGTTAAATCGCTTGTTCGAGTGCCTTCTGTAGACCCCAAATATAAAATTGCTCTTCTTGCTTCTAAGCAGGTTCTTCTTCTTCTTTCTAGAAAAAATTGTTAGTGAAAACCAAAAATAGTATTACATTAGTAAGGAGGTTGCTGGTGCAGGACCATTGTCTTGTTGATCTACTGCATGCTTGGCAAGATGGAAAACTTCCGGTTCAGATAAGCTCTGTAATCAGGTAAAGCATGGAACTTTTTTTTTATTTGTTATCTTTGACCAGTAAATGATGTGTATAATATGTCTGTATTTTGAACAGCAATCATGATAGGGTGGGGAATACCCATGTGATGCGGTTCCTTGAAAGACATGAGATTCCATATCATTATCTGTCCAAGTCAAAGGAGAAGAATGTAGAAGATGAGATATTGGGGTTGGTTGAAGATACAGATTTCTTGGTCCTTGCTAGATACATGCAGGTAAATGTTTTTCTAGTAGTAGTATAGCAGCAGGATTGGGAAAAAGGTCTTATTTGTTTATTTACCCAGGACAGGTGTTGTCTGGAAACTTTTTGAAAAGATATGGGAAGGATGTGATCAACATACATCATGGCTTATTGCCATCATTCAAGGGAGGAAATCCATCTAGGCAGGCAGGTTCTGTGTTCCAATTTCCAAATTCTGTTTTAAGCTTTTTATGTTTTTATGTTTTTTACTGGAGAATGACAGGCTTTTGAAGCTGGGGTCAATTTGATTGGTGCCACAACCCATTTTGTCACGGAGGAGCTTGATGGGGGCCCAATCATTGAGCAGATGGTAATCAAAGAGTTTTAAGTTTCTCAGTATCAGTAGTATGCAGTATATATATGCTAAGGTGAAAAGTCAAATAGTTTCTGTTTGGGTTTGCAGGTTGAGAGAGTCTCGCACAAGGATAATTTGCTGAGTTTTATTCAGAAATCTGAGAATCTTGAAAAACAATGCCTTATGAAGGCAATCAAGTCATATTGTGAGTTACGCGTTCTACCTTATCAACACAACAGGACTGTTGTATTTTGAGTAAGCTCAAAATGATGCTGATCAAAACTACAGAGTCCATTATATTCCTTGTGTTGCAAAGTTTTTGTATTTCATTTTAATTATTCATTCTAATTTAAGTTGTTCTTGTTCCAATCCAAGATTTTTTGTTATTCCCTTCTTGGAATCGATAAAAAACCATCACTATCTCTAGTGGTGGCCATTACTCTGCTTCTGTGAAAACTGTAAAATGTGCAAAACCAAAAACATGAATTTTCGGAATTTATTTTTTTATCAGGTTGTGAGCTCTGTAAAATGCCTAGAGGATGAATTAGAACCTAACTCTTCTATATATGTCTAATGTCTTAACCTTTACCACAAACAGATGAAGAAGATACCAAATACAATAAGATTAAAGACGCTTTTCTTACAAGACCAAGTTGAAAAGCAAAGGAACTGTTCTTTTTACAGCAAAGCAAATAAATTTTGTAGTTTGATACTTTAAAAAAGTTGAAAGGTTACACGGTTAAGATGGAAACGAAACATAATTTTCACAACACATGGAAAATCAACACAGGTCAGCCTAATGAAAACTTAAGTAGTGGTTTGGTTTGGTATGAAAAAAATGGAATTGCTGATGGAAATCATTGTTAACCTCACTAATCAGCAATTCAAAATCAATATTACTAAATACTAATCTAATGGTATATAAAATTTTCATGTTGCATAAGAATCATGATACACAATAAAAATCATAATACTTAAAACAAACTATTACATTTGAAAAGTCTTGCTGTTACTAGGAGGAGTCTTGAATTGGGGAAAATGGAAAGAAGGAAGGAAAGAAGGAGAGGTTACAGATAGACTTAAAGAAAGAAAGACTTAAAGATCAATAACACGAGAGAGATTCTGAATACGATTGAGCAAGAAATCCCCTTGCTTAATAGTCGCTTGATACAGAGCATTCTTTGCATCTGGGCGGTTGGAAGGGTAAAAAAACTGCCAACATTCTTGCAGTAATGGCATCTGCAGCTGCTGCATCAGGTGATGATAGGCGTGTCCATTTCTCTTTCTAATTATACCATCTGTTTTTTCTTGATAATCCGTACTCAGTTTGGTCCATAGTGATTTCTCTTTGATCAGCCCAAATATCCTTGATTGATAATTTTTCATAAAATTTCTCAAACATGCACAGAGATGATGATGATGATGATGATGATGACGTTTCTCACGAGAAGGATATTTATCTCCAATTTGGTGTAGTATTAAGTGATGTATCTGCTTTTTTTGTTGATGGTGACTATCATTGGAGTCAACGTTCGTTGACAGGAGGATTTGGCGGTTCTTCGCAGTCTAGTATCGTTAGTTTCTTGCCTATTATTGATAAGTGTGGTGTGACTTGTAAGCTTCAACAGGTATATTCATTTCAAGTTTGAAACATGATTATTATAATTATATGTTGTCAGTTGATAACACTTCATCTCTCCATCTAGATCCAATCAGAGAATCCATCTTTCCCCACAACAAGATTGGTCGTGCGGCTTCCTTTCCTTGGATTTCAGTTTCCCCCTGCGCGTTATCATTGACTGATGCAAGTTGCAAAGATCTTTCAGGGAGAGGATAATGATAACGAAGGTCTTGTCCGCCCTTGGGATCAAGCTGACTCTGAGGGTTGGTTAGATGTTCTTAATTGGAAGCTTGGTTTGATTCCTAGAACCACTCATGCTTTCATCCAATCCAATCAGCATTGTGATTTCTTAAACTTTTGGAATTTTTTGTTTATCGTTATTTTGGTGTAGGGTGTGGGAAATAGGGAAGCTATTTGGCAGAGGAGATATTTCTTAATCAGAAAGGGCCAACTTCAGGAAGATCACCTTATCAACCAAGTCTTTTCAAGATTTTGTGAAATTAGGCATAACCACAGACAAGATCAGAAACCTACTGATTTTGGTGAGTTTTTATTACAATTCAATTAATTTATTCACATAATTTTGATCATTTTTTATTTTAATTTGTTATATCAGAGCTTGAAATGATGAAAGAAAGATTTTCAAATCTTTTTTGGGGGAGGATATTTTTCGATAGTA